CTGTTTTAAATTTATAGTATAAGATCAGTTTTAAATAATTTGAACATGTCAAGTAGGCAAGTGTGTTAGTCACTCGGATCAACGCTGAGTGTAAATTGTCGAAAAATTGGTATAAACGATTAATATGACCTTTCTTTGTTAGCAACGATAGCGAAGAAACCGAAACAAAAACTATTGTTCTCAGAACTGGTAAACTATTTACTAGGAAAAATTAAAAAATTTTTTTTTGCCTAAATTATTACCATCTACTGACCAATTAAAAGCTGGCTTTGATGCTCGCTTTCCCAATACTAATCAAACCAAGCATTGCTGGCAAAATTACGTAGATTATTTTAAGTGTATAAAAGCTCGTGGTGAAGACTTTCCTCCTTGTAAACAGTTCTTTAGAGCGTATCATAGTTTATGTCCCAACGATTATGTGAGTTGCAATTAACTTTTTAAATTTATTACTTTGAGGTCGATAATACACAATTTATATTTTAATTTTTATATTTAACAGATCTCAAAATGGGATACTCAGAGAGAGGAGGGAAACTTTCCTGTTAACCTTAATCCTTAAACATTAAAACTTGTGAACATATAATATTATATCACTCAATATGATCTATCGAATGAAATTTATAAACTCATCGAAAGATTAAATTGAAAATCATTAATGACTTTTTCTCCAATCCTTAAAAAAAAAAAAAAAAAAAAATTCTGTATTATTTATTATCATTATTTAGTATAGCGAAGTTGATTGTATGTGAAAATTGGCGGTGTCCAATCAAGCTTTGACCTATCAATCTTACGTCTTTTATGTTTTGACATATCTACCATTGCATCTGTCAGTCGAATTGTTGTCTGGCCTTGATATGAACCAATTCCAAGTGTATGCAATGTGTACAAAACGTCTCTTTGATCGATGTATGTTTTTTCTGAAATTTCTTCTATTGTAATTTCTCCTCCATGAAATTGATGATATCGATGCAGAATTTCAATAATCGTTTCCTGCCAATACTTTTGGTATGATAATAATCCAAGATCGGAAAATGGTTTTTCTGGTGTCCCTATTTTATTTTCAATCTTGGCTAGCTCATACGACATTTCTATCAGTAATCTTCCATATCCTTGTCTCTGAAAATGTGGCAATGTTAAAATACATGAAAGATTATGTTCTACACTATTCTTCTCCTTTGAAAAATATCCGATTATATGAAACCCATACGCGTCTGATCGACACATTATATAAAACATGAACGGAATAAGATCATAATACAGTGATTTTTGATCAAGGAAGAGTTTTGAGAGTAGCGACAAATTTTGACAATATGTTACTTGTCTTGCTCCATCAATTTCAAAAAACGAAACTTCGCTGTCTCGATATATTTCATTTCCTGGTGGATGTCTAACCGTACATTTTTTACAATGTCGTTCAAATTGCTTTTCACTAATAAAATGATACAAGCAGAATTCGCAAATGTAAATTACGCGTGCTTCTGCATATTCTTGAGGATATGGTGAGAAATACCATGTTTGAAGATAATGCTCTCCAAACCAAATCGCATCAAGATTTTTGACGCGTGATTTAATTGGTTTCTTTTCAAACGCTCCTGATTCTGACGAAGAACAGTCAACATGCGTTGAGGGTTCTGAAGTCACTGGTGGTTCATCAAGCGACATCCCCAATCTACCAGAACTAATATCTACATTTACCATATAGTCATCATTAAATATCAAAGTCTTGGGTAATAAATTACAATATTACCATTTATACTAACCTGATCCGAGAATATCCCTTCCAACCTGACACTGTTCTTTAATTTAAAAAAAATCGGTAACAGTTACTACATCATCAGAAAATTATATATAGTGAATATCATCAAAGATTACCAATTACATGTAATACCCGTAAATATGCCTCTGAATATCAGCAATTGCAATGATCGGCACTTCGAAAATGTTGCTTAATAATGCTTTATAACAATTTACCGAATAAAAAAAAGAGTTAAAATGAAGTTTCGATTATCCACGCAGTAAAGATCAGAAAAATTGCTTTTAATTTAAAATGCGATTGTGATGATCTTTGATTTTAAAAAAATTGGCTAAAAAATGCGTTTACCCATATCATCACGAAATAAGTGTAATTTTGCAACAATACCAAGTAATTAAAAACATTGCTTGGCACCAAATTAGTTGTAACTTCTAAATTAGCGCTATAAATTTATTATTTACCGTTACCATTACCAGAATGTTACGTACTAAAAAAAAAATATATACACGTCACTCTGGTTATATCGACACCTCAAAAATCAATAAATTGTCCGATGTATCCTTATGTCGGCTTAACCAGAGGCATCTTCAAATTAAGTTTGTAGGTTCAAAATTTTAAAAAATGTCGTTATCACCAGATGTCGGTATATCCAGATGTCGATAGAACCAGAGTGACGTGTGTTTAGAAAAGTTTTCAGTGAATTTGTAATATGAACTGTATGAGATATAGTCTAATGGCACCATCTCATAATCTTGCAACATCATTAATCTAGGGAATCTCTGTCGGCTCACAATCACCCTCTTTTGGTTTACCATTTTACATAGCGAAGGCAAAGGTTGCAGATTTACATGAACTATTATCAAATAATTCAAGTAACAATGCCTGATTTTAAAAATATGAAACTCTATAAGATATATATAAATTAAATCATTATTTGCACTGAGTTATTACTTTTTCAAAGCATGCTTTTTGTAATAAATAGGCACATTTGTGTCATCGCTGAATCATGAATTGTTGTTATAAGACGGATTTGCACGAATAATATTCATGGATTGTAATGCTGCACTGTTATAAAATGTATTAATAATTGTGGCAGATCATAATGAAATCAGATCATAATGAAATTTAACTTATTTTATGTATGATTTTTAAAAAT